GACTGCCCTGTACTGATGAGAGTCAAAGAGCTCGAAACCGGTCTGTAGATGTCTAGCGTGGCCTGACTAAATCGAAATCAATAGGCATCCAGGACAGATCCACTTGTATCAGTATTCGTTCTTACGAGTCGTTGCATAAATTTCGAGAAGATGTTTTCAATGTTCTGCGTTGCATTAGCCAGGAAAGTAGTTTTTTTTCTCCCGGAATCTACCATTGTTTTTCATTTTATGGACATTGTGTGGAAGTGACATTGAGCTTTTTGTATTTATTTAACATTTCATCCCACTTTGAGCATTGTGGCTATTTCGTATAGTTGAAGTTACGCCAGTCGGGCAACCAGCCACTTCCGTATGGGATTTCAGTTTTGAAGTGTTTCTCCTCCGTTTCTACTCAGATGGCGTTGCTTTCATATTGTCTATGAAAGACGCCTCTGGGGGAATATAATGCCGACTTGATTTTTGTTTCACTAGTCTTCGCTTAGTCGGCAATCTTAGGACTGCTGGCTGGAGACTGCCCTGCACTGATGAGAGTCAGAGAGCCCGAAACCGGTCTGTAGGTGTCTAGCGGGGCCTGGCTGAATCGAAATCAAAAGGCATTCAGGAAAGATTCACTTGTATCAGTATTCGTTTATACGAGTCGATATGCATAGATTTCGGGAGGATGTAAATCAATGTTCTGCGTGGCATTAGCCAGGAAAGTAGTTGTTTTTCTTCCAAATTCTACCATTGTTGTTTATTTTATGAACATTGTGTAAATATGACTTTGAGCTTTTCGTATTCATTTACTGTTTACATTGATTTCAGTTGTAGCTGTTGAGAATATTTACGAAGCTGGGCAGTTGAAAGGGAACCTACAAATTTGCCCCAACCTGGGTGGAAATTTAAAACTGCTGATAGCAATCACTTCGGAACCAAGTCACAAGACCGCCAGACTAGCAGTCAGAGAGACCTGGGGCCACTTCGCCTTGCGTAAAGACGTAGCCATAGCTTTCATGTTGGGAGTCAGTTCGAACCAAACAGTGAACGAAAACCTCAAGCAAGAACAAGAAATCTTTGACGATATCATACAAGGAAAATTCATCGACACCTACAACAACCTCACCCTGAAAACCATATCGATAATGGAATGGGTTCACAAGTTCTGTCCTAAAGCTCGATTCGTTCTCAAGACGGATGACGACATGTTCATAAACGTATCCCGTCTTCTTGCATTCATCGCTAAACAAAAGTCTGAACATAGAGCAATATACGGCCGGTTAGCTTCTAAATGGAAACCAGTCAGGAACAGAAAATCGAAATATTACATTTCAACGCAGCAGTATAAGCCGGCAGTTTTTCCAGACTTCACTGCTGGTCCCGCATATCTATTCCCAGCAGAACTAACCAGAGACCTCTACGTGGCAGCAATGAATTACACATACGTTAAGTTAGAGGACGTTTTTATTACTGGCATGGTAGCGAACGGTTTGAATATCACACGGGTACATGCGCCCGAGTTTCTAAACAAGCGTGGTTCACTAACCCCTTGTAATATACAGAAAGAGATCAGTATTCACAGTGTGAAGACTGGCGAGCAGTATGACTTGTGGAAGAAACTTCATGACAGTACAAAGTGTTAAAAGTAATCGTGATAGTGAAAAATGAGTGTATATGTATGATTATAACTTTATTTTATCATTTCAATAAGAACATTACAACAGTAGGTAGGATCAGTATTTTTCAAATTATTGGTATTCTGTATTTCAAATAACATCTTCCTGCAACCGATACAAAATACGTCTATTTTAATACGAAATTTAGCTCTTGAATTGACCTTTCTATTACTGACACAAAAATAGCTATGTTGCTAGGCAACACTTAGTTCCTAGGAGCTAAAGTTGAACTTTAGCTCTGAGGAACATGACAGGATGTACTAGGTCATTAAGTATAAACAACATTGTTACCGATGATTATTTGGGTTGGGACGCATACCTGATTTGTTTCCGATTTCGGCAGTTTTGGCATTTCATATAGTCATGCTGGAGATATAAATACATGCAACATATTCTAGATTCACACACTTGCTTGATCTGTATTTCATTCGTTATTCTCATGATGGATAACTTGTTTCTGAATAATCACGGCCAGCAATACTATTTTGATTTTGTCTCACACAACGATATTGTTTATGAAAATGAATATTCTCAGATAAATTATGAACATACAAAAATGGATATATTATATTTATATAAAACAATACATTGAGAATTCGCATTCTCTATGTGATGAGAATATTTACTCTTTTTCAGTTAATTCAATAGAAAACAACTACTTTCCTGGCTATATGCCACGACGAACATTGAATTATATCTATTGAACACACACGATAAGAGTTTGAAAATAAAATATAAAAATTTCTGAAATTGAGAATTTGCATTCTCCTTCAGACAAAAATATGTATATACACACATCATTCTGAATATTCAACAGAAAACAACTACTTTCCTGGCTATTTGCCACGTCGAACATTGAATTATATTGTTTATCTTTATTTGATTACCGAGCCAAACACAGTGGAGTATGAGGAGAAGAAAATAATCGCTATTATTATTGTTCTTCTTCTTCTTCTTCTTCTTCTTCTTCTTCTTCTTCTTCTTCTTCTTCTTCTTCTTCTTCTTCTTCTTCTTCTTCTTCTTCTTCTTCTTCTTTCTTCTTCTTCTTCTTCTTCTTCTTCTTCTTCTTCTTCTTCTTCTTCTTCTTCTTCTTCTTCTTCTTCTTCTTCTTCTTCTTCTTCTTCTTCTTCTTCTTCTTCTTCTTCTTCTTCTTCTTCTTCTTCTTCTTCTTCTTCTTCTTATTTTTCATCAGACTATGCATCTAGATTCAACCTCCATGTCCTTCATTGAGTGAAAATCAATTATTGTAATAGATTAATTATTGATTCATTCACCGTCAGGAAAAACAAAAGGTTTTTGAGTAATTGATGGAAAAAATATTTTTTCTGGAACTTTCTGGAACCATTGTATTTCTAAAGTTATTACAGAACAAAATGTTACCAGTAAAATCATTCAAATAATTTCATAACCTGAACATTTTTGCTCACAATAAGTTTTTAGACCACATTCTATAGAGAAGCCCTGGAACATATTTGACAATTTTCAAGTTTCCTGGTACCAAAAAGAACGAAATGTTGGATGTGAAATATTTGAATTTCAGTCGAAATACCTCGAAAAAACTCACCTTTATCATTCCATCAATCCTGGTAATAACTGAAGCACTCAGATCTACGAAAGCACTGAAAGGGGCGCAGATTCTTTCAATTGTTAAATGTTTTCATTTTATATATGAATTCAGATTCAGATTTCAAATAATGAAGTGAATTCAAGAGGGGGAGTGTTCGTAACTGTCGTGTCGTCGAGATTGTCGTCCTGGTACATGGTTTTGCATCAAGAGCCCAACTGTGAACGATCGATCAAGCAAGATGTCTGGCAAATGCTTATAAAGAGGAGGAAAATTCAGAAAAATATCCCAGCGAGCACAAAAACATCTCAGAGATGCTAAAAGTACGAGATTTCGAGACATTGAACCTCCACTGCGATGTTCTGTTCACACATGAATAGAACTATTATAGAACAGCCAATGTCCGCCCCAGGCGACAATTATCGAGATGTCCTTGATGTCACAAAACTATCTTCTCCCTAGTTCTTTTTAAAGCCTTTTCATGGACACAACAAAACATTTTCAACGCGTCTTGCGCACGATAAATCGCTGTAAAAAAACCATTTTCGAGGTACTTTTCTGAAGCCTTTTGTCAAAATGAACTTCTGCACTAGGATTCCATTTCCCTTGAATGAAAAAATGCATCAAAAATAGATTGAACATAAAAATATTTTCTTGATATGAAATTACCTTCTTAATCGGTTTCTGAGTAGTGCTTACTACACACAGACATATGATTGGAAATATAGATTTCCCAAATTTTTGAAATGTTCTCCACAATGCATAATTTTGCAACTGCGGAGAAGCTGTGTATTGATAAATTCGTACTTTTATATATTGATTACACTGAGGCACCGTACATCACATCTTGCATCTGATGGTCATTATTACAAACTAAATAGGTCTTCTAACACAATAAACTTCACCAAATTCCATCCTCTTCGTTAGCTGCGTGATGTAAGCGTGACACGCTGCAAACGCGAATGCCAATTGCGAACAAGAAGAACAAAATCGAAAACAAATCAGAATTTATCGTATTGTGACGTAAGCATGAGACGTTGTGGTGGGGCAAACAAAGAAGGGCACAAAAGAACAAAAACAATACTTTCAATATCCTTCTAAGATATCTTTGGGAAGTGCATATTACGCCTCAAAAAAACATCCTCATGCCTACATTTCTAAAACATCCCAGGGATACCTCTCAGTAGGCAAACAAAGAAATGCCACGGAAGAACAAAAACAATACTTCAATATCCTTCAAAGACCTCTTTGGTCAGTGCATATCACGTCTCAAAATAACATCTTCATGCCAATATTTTCAAAACATCCCAAAACATCCCAGGGATGTTTGTGCTCGCTGGGATCGAATAACGACAAGTAGGCGCTAAATAACCCCAAGTACGTTCGTCAAATATTATTCTCGTTATTGCTATCATAGGATTTCAAGGTGCTGCTACTATTCGAAAATGTATAACGGTAGTATGATATCTTGTAATGGTAGCAAAAAACTCTAAAAGCACAATTTTCTTCAGTGTGGTCAACCTACTCATCGGGTGTAGCAAAAAAAGGACACAGGTCGCAGTGGATTCACCTAGATTCACCCATTATAAAAGATTGAGTTCCTAGGATACTTATTCCTTCCCGATACCAAATCTCAATTTGATTGAGATCTCTGAGTGAATTCGCTTAGCATCTCGAATTTCTTGTGAAAGACATCAGTGTTAAAAATAAATATTCTGTTCGAACGCTCTCCGCCCTCTCCTCGAATACCTTCCTTTCACCTTCTTACCAAGCCCATCTGCAGACAACAACAGTGCTATTAGTCGTTCTTGTATATACAAGAATCAAGAATCGTTTCGTTTCGTTGTGGGGTCGCGACAAAACTATTATTTAGCGGATCCTTCGTCCGCCCTGTGTATTGCATTTTAATTTCGTTGACCAGCGGTCAATCGATTTCGGTGTGGCAACAGTAAAAGTTTATTGTTGGTTGTGATATGTGAAAATTTCTCTGGTGCTTTCAATAATTGACTATTGGATACTCTTAAGCTCGATAAAACACAAAATGTTTTCGGTAAGTTTTACAAAATTCTATTCAATTATTTTACACGATTCTTTGGGATTTTCTCTCCTCGTTTCTATAAAATAAAAGTATTTGTATTATTTCAATATTATTGTAGAGGGACAAATCAGATGACTTGCCCAAAAATGTCACTGCGTTTAACAAATTTTTCTATCAGCTACACCTATGTTTTTACAGGGTGTGCCTCTTGGAATTGATTCTCCCTCCCTCCGCCATATTTTTTTATATTCAGAGATATTGAGAACTTATTCACGCATACAATCAAAAAAATAGTGAATGTGAGAAAAATTAGTTATTTTTGTATCTGGATCGCGAAATGCTACTTTGGAGATCGATATTTTAACGAGTCGAGATGACCAAAGTATTTCGCGCTCGAGTTGCAAACAACATAAAAAATAGTGTTGAACTGGCTTGAAAGGTCTCCCCCTATCCTCCCTAGGTACGCACGATGTTTTACGAACATAATAGGATTTTCCTCTCGTACGCTCCAAGAGATAAAACAAAGTTATTGTTGAACATTCAGAAATAAATGATTTCGTGGATGTTTGCTCGATTGAGGACCATGAAGTTGAAATTGAAAAATCTTATACATTGTACATAACAATGTGTGAAGTAGGTATACTTCACACATTGTACATAACAATGTGTGAAGTAGGTATACTTCGCGCACTGTTTTACTTCGCGCATTGTTTTGTGCAAGGTATTATGGTAACGTAGGAAACTGAAAAAAAGTGTCACTTCGCAATTCGTTATCAATACGCGCACCTTGTAATTTTTTGACCTTTATAGAAAAAAGTTATTTTTTCTGTGACGGGAAAAAAGTTTGGCATTTCATCTCTGTTGGCAGGTCATAAAATGTCACTTTCCATAAAAGTGAGTACTTTTTTCCCGGATATATATCACATATATATACACTGTTGATGGCTTTTGTTGTGCTATAGTTCCGAAAAATGAGTCAATAATACCGTCTCCGAGAAAGAACTGCAAGTCCTTTTATCTTCCATTCGACTTCGCGGTTACGTATATTACTAAACAACCACTAAATTCGCAATATTTTGAAATCAAATCACAGAATTAGACTGACAGAAGTGACATCAGATATTTGATTACTCCAAAAGAATGATAAAGATGCCTACAACGTAGGTGCCCCAACTGTTAAAAACTTAAAATTTCACGTCGATAATTTTCAGATTTCAAAATAATGTAATATCTTCTCAATATTGATTCGTCCTTTTTTCTGTCACAGAAAAAAATAGTGTATTACACTCGGCAAAAATATTAGATTTTAGCTCACGGTTTTTTGTCTCCCTCCGCTAGGCGTCGGGAGACAACACAACCTGGAGCTAAAATCTACTACTTTTTTCCCTTGTATAATAAATAATTATTATTATACAAGGGAAGAAAGTTGTAGATTTTAGATCGAGATTGTGATGTCTCCTGACGTAGCGCAGGAAGCCAAAAACCGTGATGTAAAATCTAATTATTTTACTGTGTATAATACACTATTTTTTTTGTGACAGGAAAAGAACGAATCAATATTGAGAAGATAAAAAAATCGACGTTATATTCCAAGTTTTTAACAGGAATTACACCTGCGTTGCAGGCATATTTATCATTATTTTGAAGTGATCAAATATCTGTCAGTCCAATGTCAGTCTAATTCTGTGATATGATTTCAAAAAATTGCGAACTTAGTGGTTGTCTAGTAATTTACGTAACCGTGAAGTCGAATGGAAGGAAAAAGTACTTGCAGTTCTTCCTCGGAGACAGTGTTATTTGCTTATTTTTCGGAATTAGCACAACAAAACCTACGGACAGTGTATACAGGGTGGGGCATTAGTGAGTCGGAGCTCGATTGCTCGAGTTGTATGATAGCTAGAAACTCGATTCAAAAACGAACGTGAATGGGATAACAAGGTCCATAACTAGAAATTATTGCCGCATATACAGGGGGCACCGAAAAAAATATAGAGGTTCAGGATCACTTTTTTAAATGGAATGCACTGTATATTAGCACATTTTTTTAAGCATCCCTGGGACCTTCAACAACTCCTATGATAATGGTGACTATATCTAGATCATTTCAGAGGTTGAGATGCATACCAAAAATATCACTGTAGTCACAATTATGAAATTCAAGAGAGAATAATCATAATATCATTTGATGGAAAGATGTGTGATATTTTTGTAGAATTTTTATGTCCTCAAATTATACAGGGTGGCTAAACATGATTTTTCAATTCAGAACTTTTGGAAGTGTTTTTTTTCTCGAGTTTTTCAAATGAAACACCCCATATATTTTTAGGCTAATTGGTGTAAAATCGAAACACGAACATCTTTTATCACAACATCCCTAGTCATAATTCATTGCATGTGGGTGTAAGTCAAAATTTATTGCATGCGGGAGAGTTTATAAACCTATCTGAGTGAGGATTGCTTACTCCAAAGCGTTCATAAATTGCATGTGGCTGCGTTCATAAACTTACTCTGAGTAAGGATTGCTTACTCCAAAGCGTTCATAAATTACATGTGGGTGCGTTCATAAACTTACTCTGAGTAAGGATTGCTCACTCCAAAACGTTCATAAAATCATTCTAGCAGTTTAGAGTATGCATTCACAATCATTCAGAAAGTTACTTTTAGTAAGCCCTACTCACCCTGCATTTGAATAGAGTAATGAATCCATATCTGATCGATTTTATGTAAAACCCACTTCCGTATGGATAACGTAGTCTTCAGGGCAGGGATACTGTTTTTATTAAATAGATAGTTGGCAGGGCCGATCCTAGCGGGTGTGCAGCGCGTGCCCCGCACGCGGGCGGCCAAAACAAGGGGCGGCCGCAGGCCGCATATTGTCCCATCAAACAAAATTATTTGAAACTCATAAGTCGAATGAATATGCTGCATTTTGAATAAATAAAATGATAGTAAATAGTGTGTTGGTCCATTGTCAATTAATGTCTACTTTTTATACACATTCTTATCTTCCCAAATTTTAAATTTCTATTTGAAACAATAACCAAGGGGCATATTTTTCAGACGCCTAAGGATGTTTTGTTCCATCACTGTGCGGTAGCTTATTTATGCATTTCTACTACTTACTAAGAGACTATGAGAGAAAATCCCAAAAAATCTGGAGAACATCCACTTGGTTAAACTACAGACACCATTTAAAATACTTTTCACTTGCTCTTCTTATTGTTCTTATCTTCAGATTCCAGATCATTTTATATCAATTACATTAAACTGTAATATACTAATGTGATGAATTTGAATCCCAACAAAAATTTCGCCTGCGGCGCATTTTTTGCCATAGGGAAATTTTGGCTGAGTTTCTTGGCCGCTCCCGGTATGCACTGAAATGGAGTTATTACCTGAAAGCATTTGACCTTGAACTCAGAAAAAATTCGCCTGCGGCGCATGAAGATTTTGTCTACATTTTTTTCTGTGTTTTACTTCTTATCCTTGTACAAGTAGTTGAAGTTATGAAGTCATCAGGTATTATAGTTGAAAAATATGAAAAATTCTCTAGAGGGGCGGCACATTAGGTTTATGCACGCGGGCGGCCGACACCCTAGGATCGGCCCTGATAGTTGGGTTTGCTGACAAAGTAGTAGTATTCGGATATATTTAATATCTGGCATCCCTTATCATAACCTGAAAATCTGTGAGTTTTGTACAACTTGACAAATTTCTTGCATACCTTCACATAAGAGTTTTTGAACGACAACCTTCAACAAATTACAACTTTCACAAAATGACTGTATCCGATATGTATACACAATATATACAAATATGATCATATAACCCCTGTATAATATAACAGCAACAACATCCTGAAAATGGGATAACGTTATCAACTTCTATTTGGAATATTTGAAAAAAAAAAAATGTGAACATAACAAATGGAAGCAACAAGTATACATAGATACACAACAATTTATGGTTTGAAATAATATGTTGAAAATAGTAGGTAAGATGGGTGTATTTCCATATATATCATGGTGTTTACATTACATTATATTCTATCAGATCACTGGACAGAAATTCATCTACCGAGTAGAAAATGTGTTCAAGTAAAAGCTGTTTGATAGCTGATTTAAATTTATAGGAGCTGGGCTTTTTGAATGATTCTGGCACTTTATCATATAAATTCAGGTTGATTGAGTTTTTTGATGAGATTTCAAGACGAAATCTAGGATTGATGAGTTGGGAGTTATTTCTGGTGGAATAGCTATGTAAATCTTTGTGTCTGCTATAGCAGTGGACATGGTCATGTATTTCAACCAAACAATAATACACATACAGTACAGGAAGTGTCAATATCTCAAATGCCCTGAATAAGGGTTTACAAGAGTCTTTATTTGCTGCCTTGACAATTACCCTGACTGCTTTCTTTTGCCGAAAGAAGGCACGGTTTGCGTGGGTGTAGTTACCCCATGAAATCCCGCCATAACTCAGATGCGAGTGGAACAGTGAGAAGTATGACATTTTCAGAACCTTCTCATCAACAGTATTCCTCAACTGTCTGAGGATGAAGATTTGACTTGACAATTTTTTACACAGTATGTCAATGTGTTCAACCCATCTAAGTTTGCTGTCTAGGGAGATACCTAACAGTTTAACTGGTACGTTTGTGGCAACGCCTGTGTTGAAGGAAAACGTGATTGATTGTGTTTTGGTGTCATTTTGAACCAGGTTGTTAGGGGTGAGCTACTCACTGATTCTGTTAGAAGCTTCAACGTCATTCTGATGAAGTTCTGTTGGATTCAGGGTGGAATTGTAAAAAGCTATATCATCTGCGAACAATATAGGTACACAGGCTTGGTTTGATGTGTTAGAATATATCATTTATAAATATTATGAACAGGAACGGCCCAAGAACTGATCCTTGGGGCACTCCTGTGGATATTGGCTTACACGCTGACGTATTGTTCGTTGTATGTCACGTATTGAGTTCTTCCGCATATATATATGTCTCGAAAAATGAG